TGAAACGATATACCTTTTCGAATTGTTTTTCAAGCTCTTTGTAGGCGTTCATTTTCCTTATTACCTGTGTGTATTTGCTGTTGTGCTTTCAGTCTAGAGTTTTGAGGAAGAAAGATAAAATCAATATGAGAAAAGATAGTAAAATATATTAGTTTATTCATCAGTATGAATGGCACCACTTTGTTAAACTTGTTACTGTTTTTGTTGTTGTTGTTGTTTTTTAGAAAAAAAAAGGAAAGAAATTTAATTCAACTTTTCTTTACTAATGGGTTTAAGGGTTTTTTTTTTTAGCACCTTTTTTTTTTTATACGCGAATAGTAGGTAGTGATGGTGGCAGTAGGAATTTTTTTGTTTGTTATATATCTTGTATCCAAGATTTTTTTCTTCTTTTTTTTTTTCCTTCTTTTTAAAGCCCCAACTGAAAATGTATGATGGCAGAGAAATACGTTATTTATTTTTTTCTTTTCTTCTTATTTGCCACCTTTCTTCTTAGAGCTGCGAGCCAATTTGGCTTTATTTCCCTTTAAGTGTTCGTGCACCACCGCTTCCAGCCGCTGCACCGCCTCCCGTTGGTGTCGTTTATTCATGAATTGACGGTTGAGAGGAACATAAGCGAATGGAGCCATATTTCCCCGCTTCACATCGCCCTGTCCTGTTCCCTTGAACTCATCGCCCTTGCGGATATCTTCCTCCACACGTGCCCGCTTCAACTCCCGCTTTTCCCGCATTTGATCGCGGAGTTTGGCAATCTGGTTTACACCAGGACCCACACGGGGCTCGGCGGTGGTGGTCGCCCGCTCTACAGCCTCACCATTTATCTTATTTCCATACCGCAACATTAATTCATCATTCTCAAAGTCCTCCGCATCTGCACGAGATCGTTTTCCACGTTTACCCACCGCAGCATCATTTAATGCTTCTGCGTGGATTAATCCATTATTACGACGGAGAAGACGTTCTGCCATTTCCTGTCGACGTTTATGATCATCTTGTTTACGCTTATCTTCCATACTCATGATGTGCAGTTTACCCTCTTGGAATTCAATATGCATGTTATCCAATTCATCACCACTATCATCATCATTATTATGGGATGAGTAAAAAGATGGTGAAGCATGTGTGGAGACAAAATTTGTTACTCCACCAGCCTGAAGTAAATCACGTTCTGCATCATCTTCTGTACCAGCCTTCAAAGCGACTCCAAGGAACAGTCTATCAAATTCATTCTTCTTTTCATCCACACGCTTTTTAAGTTCTCTTTCTTCTTTCTTCTGTTCACGTTTCATCATTTTATGTGTATATCGGAGGAAGTTCTTTGATCCAATAGGGAATATAGGTTCAAGACGTTCAAACGTAAAACGTTTAATACACTTTTCAAGAAGTACACGCATCTGTACACGTGTATTACTGGATACACGTGGTTGTGATGTTATTAACGCAATAGCGAGTAATAACTTTGGTAAAGATTTCTCCACCGCTGTAGCAATACGTGGACACCGTTTCATTAATTTTAATACCATACGTGCAAACATAGCCCCAGCCGAACGTACATCTAATGAAGTAGACTCCATCATACGAAATCCAAGAGCAATAGCGGAGTTAAGATCTTCTTCTGGTAACTCTTGATGGGTTACATATACTAACTTGGCCATGGCTACTAAAGTACTGGAAATCATCCATGGTGTTTTTCCAGAAAACCCAGCAAGTACAAGATGTAGAAGCATATTTACAGGACATCCAGAACCCACAAGATATCGTTGCATTTTTTCTAAAAGGTCCATTGAAGCTGCACGTGTTTCACTAGAACGTTCACGAGAAAGCATTATAGTTTCTCCCACAGTAGAACGAATCATAGAAACCAATTGATCTGGGTGATACATTTTACATGCATCCAAAGCCCATACAAGACAACGTAAACGCATTTTTGTTCCTGAAATAGTGAGATGTTGACGACCAACCGCTAAGATTCCTGCAATACGAGGAAACATAGGAAATATTTCTTTTATACGATGTTCAAACATAGCATATAATAATTTATATGCTTTTTTCTGAAGAAGACGTGATTCTGGTGCAGGATCCATAAGAACAGGTTCAATAATATCATTAAATAATTTTTCAACATGTTCTGCTGAAATCTGAGAAACTACAGCACATGAAATATCAAGAACCATTCGTCGTTTTCCAGTTAATGGTTCATGACTCGCTTTCTTTCCAGGAACAATTTCCTTTTGTTGGGTTTGATTTACAATATTCATACCAAGATCTAAAATACCCTTGAGAATAACCTGCATCACATCTGGTGTACAAACACGTGAGAAACTCTGAATAGCCAAGAGAACAGCAGTGGAATCATGGGTTTCAAAGGTATTACAAAGTTTAGGCATAATATTTACACTGAATTTTGCAATAATTTCCTCACATACGTGTTTTGCTGTTTCCTGTGAAATTCCATGATAAACATGACGATTCCATGTAGGATCATTAAGGGCAAGAAAGTATGTATCCTCTTCCAAGGTATTTTTCTGTTGCTGTATATTACGTTTTCCTCGTGAAATTTTTTCACGTTGATCCTCCTCCAGTTTTTCCTCTTCCATATTATTATCATCCACATCCTCCACATCATCATAATCTTCATCGAGAGAAACAGCATTTGAGAGTTCATAGTAACCATCACAGAGAACATGTAATGCCGTCGCACCGGTATCCACAAAGAGTGCATGAGATAAAAGACCCACTAATTGTTTAGCCACATCACGGAATGAATCCTTCGTAACTATACGTGGATAATGACAAAAACCAACACCCACACGCCAGTATTGTTGTAGTAAGGATGTCCACCGAAGTGAAAACTCTGGTCGTCGTTGTTTTTCATACTCCAAGGCGACATTTCGAGTAAATTGAATAAGTGGAAAAAAGTATTCTACAAAAAATGGTAGAGAATCATGAGAGGCAATACGACGGAGAATATTAAGAATATAACTGTTTGCCCAAGCCGCTTCCTCATTAGCAGCATTTCCACCATTTATTTCTACTTCATATGCACGACGAGGATCAAATGGGATAATCTCCACAAATTCACGAACAGACATTCCTTTTCCAATAGCCACCATCACACGTTCAATTTTACCGTTAAGTTTGGAATCATCCATGCCTCGAAGTTTATTTAATACACGTAAAAGGAAAGAAAAAGATGGAAAACGTTTCGTGAGAGGTAAAGCATCACCAGCAGGCGTACGCTTAAGATAATTTATCCGTTCAAAGAGTGCTTCAAATATTTCAAGAGCAAATCCCCAGTAAACTTGATGATGTGGTTTTAATAATTCCAGTAATTGATTAGATACAATTCCTTCAATAGCCTCACGTCCTTCTGAAGATTCTACTATATAAGGAGAAAGTGTACGTCGTAAAAGAGAACATAATTCGGATACTGTAGCTGAAACGACACTTACAGGGGAATCTGTAAAATTACCAATACACAACTCTACAAAACGTGGAAGTGCTTGAATAAAAAACTTTTGATTCTCATTTAAACAATAATCTGAAGTTGGAGAATCTCTTGTAGGACGTTGATGTGATGTTCCAGTTAACGAACTAGAAAGGGCTGCATGTTCAAGAAATTTACGAAATACAACCACATACATTTGCATAGCATCCACACGTAGTTTACTTGGCTCTAAACGAGAAAATATCTTAAGAACTTTCATAGATGGTGTTTGAATAGACAACATAATTTGTTGAGCAAATTTCATTGCTTTAGCCACAACCAAATGATTACTTGTTAAGTTTTCTGCTATTATTTGTTCAATTAATGTAATAGCGGCTTCCAATTGATGTAAAAGAACTCCTTGACTTAATCGTGGGGCACAAGCAGATAAGATAGCGAGAATGTATGGAATATGATGTTTCTCAGGTGATCTTGACAGTGCTGTAAATGCTGCCATAAAGAGTGAGAGTGGACTGACCGTCTCACCAAGACCTTCAATAGACTCCACCAAACCGTCCTGAACACACTTTAGAATGGTATGATCAAATGTTTTATGTGTTTTCTTATTTTGTGCTGTTTGAACACGTTTGGCGACTACTTTCTTTACTTCTGCCTTTTGCAACTCCAACTTTTGTTGTTTGGCCGCCATCATTTGCCGCCGTAACTGCAGAAGTTTTTGGCGACTTAAATTAGCGCCTTTTCGTGCACGTTTGAGGGTCATTTTGGCATTATTGCTGTTACTGTTGTGACCCGCCCCCGCCCTTGTCGGCACTTTATGAACTCCCATACCTCTAATAAAGTGTGTGTGTGTGAGTGTGAGTGTGAGTGAGTGAATGAGTCTCGTTCTACTTTTTATTTATTTATTTAAAAAAGGGAAAAGAAAAGAAAAAAAAAAGAAGGAATAAGAGTTTATATATAAAATATGAGATGTACAGTAGAAATATATATATATATTTCCTATTTTAATTAAAACCCTGAAAAAAACAAATAGAAACAAATAAATGGTTTCAATGTAGTTTCCCATTAATTTTCATCACAACCGATCCATAAGAAGAAACGTAAAGGCAAAAAAAAAAGCATTACATACGAAAATTTCTTTCTTTTTTTTTTTTTGTTTTTCTGCGATAGAGAGAAGATTCACCCGGCAGAACTTACAAAGTGGAAGATTCTAAAGATCCTTTTCCTCTGCAAACCCCTCAATGTGAAGGGATTAAGGGGTGGAGATGGGGCAGAAAAAGAAAAAGAAAAAAAAAAACTTAAATCCTTTTCTAATCGTTCAGCCAGAGGCCTTTTTGGAACTACAGGAAAACCCAAAGAAAGCAGAAGATTACACAACCCACCCACCCCCAAAAGCCCAGACCATCACAGATCAAAATCCGGACACATTTTCTTTTTCCACAAGCTCCTATAAATAACAATAATAATGATAATAATAATAATAATAATAATAATAATAATAATAATAATAATAATACTATAAATAATAATACTAATCATAATGAAAGAAAAACCATTTTCTAACATGTGCGGATGTGATATCAATAGAAAGCAATTATTAGAAGGAACCGTGTAAAAAAAAAAAAAAGATACAGTCTTCAAGTGTCAGTTGCAAAATCTTTTGATGATCATTTTTTTTTCTTGTTTTTATTATTTTTATTACTTTGCTTTTCTCATTTTCTTTTGCTTTTCCTCTTTCTACAACACTTTGCGTGGGAATTTTATTACATTTGAGGTCTCATACATGACTCTCCTTCTCACCTTGAATAACAATTTTTTCACATGACTCTTGAAGGATTTGATGAATAACAGAAGAAAGATATGGTTCAAGCCCTTCCCCTTCACTTGATACAAGTGTAGATATCTCTACAGAGATCTTTCCACGTTGAAGTACCTCCACTGCGGCGGCCGCTTCTTTTGCGATTTCACCTTTACCAGAAGCAACCTTCTTTAGTGCTGCAATCAACCAGTGTGTGTGCAGTTCTGTTAAAAGTCGTGCTGCTTCCATTGGTGTATCACTTGATGCCCATCTGCATTCTTAATTGGGGCAAATTCCTCATTTCGGTTAACTTGCATAATACGAAATCCATCATCACCGGTTTTAGGGGGAATATAACAATATTTAACAAACCTGAAGAGATCAAAAATGAAGGCTTCTAATTTAACACCCATAACAGGGCCATTGATAGTGGAAATCTTTTTATGGGCAGCATGATATTGGGTAAAGGTTTTCATCTTTTCTGCCGCAACTTGTAAAAACCGTAGACTACAAAGATAACAAGAAATATTAGCACAGTTAAACTTAAGTTCCCCTGTCTTGGCATCCACTTCAGCTGCTCTTTTCCCTATTTCTGTGTATTCCACAACACCCCATTCTCCTTCCATACGTGCGTAAACACCAACAGACTCTTCTGCGGAAACTTTTGGGCTTGATTTTACCACAACATGTGCTTTCTCTTCTACGGCATAACCAATAAATAATGGATCCGCCATTTTAGAAAGAAGATTATCCACATTACCGATTTGTATATATTTTACTCCGAGTTCTTCCAATCGTTGTAGGAGAGAAATCTTTTCACCATTTGGTGGTGTTGATAATGCGGTGTATACGCCTCCATTTCCACCTGGTGAAATACACATACGACCAGAGGATTCCATAAGTATTTTTCCCGTCTTTTCATCATAACAAGGAAGAGAGAATTGTTGAAAAAAGTGTACCTGCTCCTTTACAAGTCCAAAAAAATTATTTTCTTGAAAAAATTCCCGTGTTTGTCTGTCATTTTGAGAAGAAGTCATCACAAGTAACTGAATACGTCCAGATGGAACCCCTCCACAGTGAACTGCTGCAAGTTCTTCACGTTTGCGTAATCTTTCACAATGTAATTGAAATAACGGCTTCTTCAATCGTAATCCATTACATGTAAACAATCCCTTAGGCACATCTGCTCCCAATCTTGTACCACTGCCACCTGCCAAAATAAGAAATGCAACCTGTCCGGCGTGAATCGCATTATAGCCAAGTGTCTCCAAGTGTAAAATACGATCGTTATGATGATGGCGTTCGGCTTCCACGTCAAAGAGAAAATCTTTAGATGGTGGCTCTACTAGAGCGGCACCCCCTGTAATCTTGTGCTCTAGACTGTGTTGAAGGATACTATTAAGATGACAGAAATCCACATTTGAAAGTTCTGTGCTCAACTGCTGGGATAATGTTGCCTGATCCGCCGCAGTTCCGTGCTCCAATACATTCAAAATATGTTCTTGACCAGCCTTGGCCAAGGAAGATTTGACTTCTTCAATTGCTCCCATTTTTTTCTTTTTTTTTTTTTTTCCTTTTGGGCGAAATCTTGTTAATGTAATTCTCGTTATTCTTTGTTCTCGATGGGGGAAGATAAGGAAAAAATAAAATAATAAAAAGGAAAAATAACCTCTTTATTGCTATTTTTTTTCTTTTTTTTTTTTTTCAATCTTGACACTCTTGGCTTGTAACTTTGAATACTTTTTCTTTTTTTTCTTTTTCTTTTTCTTTTTTTTAATTATTTGCTTCTTCTTTCAGTTCCCCTAATACGTTGCCACTATTATCGTAGGTGATAAGCTTTACTTCTATGACAGGAAAGATAGACCTTTTAAACCTGATAAAAAAGGGGTGGAAAGAAAGGAAAATTAAATAATTAAAAAAAAAAAAAAGTATAAGAACCACCATATTAAAGAAAATGAACGGATGATTAAAAAAAAGAGAGAGAGAGAAAAGGGATTACAATAAACGCCATCTCATGGTGTGCGTACGTGTACACGCATGTATATAAATATATGTATGCATGTGAGAGAGAAAGAACGGAAAGAAAAAAAAAAAAAATGACACAGCAACTGATTCTTATTCTTCTTTTTTTCTTCTTCTTTCTTTCTTTCTTTTTTTTCTTCTTTTAGATCCCTTCCTATTGATTCCAAATGCTGTCGCTTTTATACGTTTCTTTTCATTTTCTCTTTTTTTTTTTCTTCTCCTTTCTTGTCCTTTTCTTCTTTTTTCTTTACCTATGTACTTCCCTTTACTACTGTTGGTGGAGCCATCCATCGGGCGTAGTCCTCTGCCCGTGCGTCTGTTGGGAATCCCGTCTGATCTAATGAACGTTGCGCAAACGGCAAATAACGGCCAAGATGACGGGCCATTTGTGTCTTCTCATCATGTAAACCTTCACATATTTGATGTGTATTATTCGTCTCTTCACTAGCATGAAGCATTGTAGTCCACTCTTGTTCAACCAAGTTATCCAGTAAAGATGCTGCCACATTTACTTTTTGTCGATTCACACGTCTTATGGTTTCCTTATGATATTCTAATGCGGTTTGATGTAATGCACGGGCAAGGTAATAAATACGTTTTTCTAATTCTTTATGTTTGGCAGCCGCTTCTTCTCCATTTCGTTTATCTGGAAGTCCAACATGGGCTAAAAAGGAAATATGTGGATCTTTTTTAATAATAGCTACAAAATGTGGTAGCGTGGGAAGATAGGGAATCATAGTTCCACCAGCCATTGTTATTCGTTGACTGTTGCAAGCCTGTACATCTTCAAAACTGTACCGATAAATATCTTCCGTAGCAGAATCATATACTTTAAGAGCATCTATACCTTTACGTGTGAGTTTATCCCGTTCTTCTGCCCGTACAGCTCGTGGATTAAAATAACTCCAATCCGAGTAACTGGAGAAAACAGAAGGATTGTCATCCGCATGTGAACTTCGCAATAGTTTCTGAAAGTTCACAATATCATCTCGATGATGTTTCTGCTGAAGACGACGTAAATCTTGTGCTCGACTATCAATAGCAGCAGCCACATTTCGAGGAAAAGATGGTAATAAAGAACCACGTTTCTCTCCAATTACATTGGCGATACTTACACCCTCCATAGATCCCCGTGAAACATCTGAAGAGTATGGCCTTGTGAGAAAACCATGTGCGCTTGGAAACTTTACAAACGGGTTTTCAGATACAATGAGGTTAAACTCACCAAAGAGAAGAATTTTAAGAAGTGGTACATTCTCTTCACAACGCCAGAGCATATCAATAGGTGGATATGAATTTGGTGGTAATAAATGACGATTAGTTTTTCCTTTTCCCTCAGCATGAGATTTTTGGCTACTCTTACTCTTATTATCATCAGAAGTATTGGTAGTAGTAGTAGTAGTATTGGTATCCTTTGTCTGTTCAATATTAGCCGATCGTAAAGCTTCAATGGCTTGTTTTACTTCCGTATCATCCTTTGGTGGAGGATTAGAAAAGAGTAAATCCGCTGCATTAGCTTCTCGATGACAACGAAGAACAACATGGGCCTCAACAGCATTATCAATATAATACTTCTTAACTAGATACAAAAAATAGTAATAAGCATCCATGGTTGGACACTTTACTGTAAGTGGATCAGGTGTTTCTGTATCCTGATTAATTCCTGTTGTTGTTGTTGTTGATGATGTTGATGTTTTTAATATCGGTGCAAATACTGTATTCTCTACAGCATCAAATATATACCGAAAAGAAGAAGGATATGATTGTTTACGCTCTGAAAGAATTGCACGATACAGTAAAGCCTTATCCCATATAGATGTCGCATCCAATGAACGATTTAATACCATATTTTTAAATAACTCCACAAGATGATATCGAGTACAACGATCAATATGAATAGCTGGAAATTGTGGTTGTCGTTCAAATAAATCAAGCATTCCTTGTGCTTTTGAAATCTCATCCAATGTTTCCTGTGCCCCTCGTCGTTTGATTTCACCAGCCATTCGACGAAATGAGTGTGGAGGTCTAACAAACATTCCCGGTGGTGGAGCTCCTGGGAGTCTATCCCCAACATCTGCAGAGGATCCCGCCTGACTACTAATAATATTTCCATTAAACTTTTTCTCTGCTGCCGTACGGGCATCCATATATTTTCCTTTAGTCTTATAACAGCGGTAAAGCCAATCGAGATAGTCGGGTGTGTAACTTAGACGAAGTGGACCGGGATTTGTGATGAGTTTTTCAAAACTCTTCGCATCTCTGGCCCGCACTCCACGTTCCATCGCGTATGTGAAGTTGTGTACGGGATTGAATTGTCCACGTGTTGTAATTCCACGTTTTTGTTGTTTTTGTTGTTGTTGTTGACATTCCATAGTAGTGAAGGGAGATGCTGAGAGTGAAGCACATCCTAATGTGCTAATCGTACGTCTTCGCATTTTGCTTTCCTTTTCTTTTTTGTTCTTTCTTTTCTTCTGTTTAACTATCTGTTTTTTTTCTTTTTCTTTTTTAATCTGTGAATGTATGTAGTGATATTTGATTGGGAATCCCTCTTTATGTGGTCTATGTGAAGGTATACACAATGTATGTATGTATGTATGTATGTGTATAGATATTATTCACCAATGCGTTTAAACAACAACAGAGCGGACTGAGGAGTGTGTGGGGTCAAACCTTCACAATGCCAAAGACCTCACACCACAATACTTTATTAATAATTAATAATTAATAATAATAATAATAAATAATAAAAGAAATAAGAAGAAGAAAAAAAAAAGAAAATCAGCAATAACAGAAAGAAAAGAGATTATTGTCAACATTTCTCATTCCACGTGGTGTGGAATTAAGAGAACGAAAAGAAAAATAAAATAATAATAAAAAAGAAATACGCATAAATTTTTTTTCTTTGTTTCATCCTTCTCGAATGAGAAACTTCTCTACATCATCGTCGCCATCTAATAGCAGATACAAAGAAAGGAAAAAGAAAAAAAAAAAAGAAAAATAAAAACAAGAAAGAAACTAACAAAGAAATAGAGGGAAGAAAACAACAACAACAATAAAAGAAAAAAAAACTGAAGAACATCATAAATAAACAACACAATGTACATCTCCAGTAGAGAAGGAAAATTGCCTACATACTTTCCATCCTTCTATCATTATTTCCTTCTTCTCATCTTCTCTCTTCATTTAGACTTTCTATCCTTCTTTCTATTTCCTCCCGTTTCTGTTTATTTCTTTTTTTTGTTCTTTTTCTCTCCTTCCTTTCCACCACTAATACTCTCTTTCTCTTTCTCTTTCTCTCTCTGCCTTTTATAGCTCAAATGCAATATCGTGGTTGATGTTGCCATCGCCCATGTAAATAGTTCCATACTTCTTTGTCTCCGGCACGTGATAAAAGACAGATCCCACAAACTTCGCACTCATTCCCAGCACCACATTATTCACAGGATCATACCGCATTCGCCAAACACCGCCGGGTAAATCATCACTGATGGGAAAAAAGACGGCATCGAGATTTTGATCCTCCTCCAATCGCTCCAGTCCAGACTTCTCATGTTGTTGGGTTCCCTCATTGCGGGCAATAAGAGTGAGATAGGGATTCTCCGCCCGTAAGTGATAGTAATTCCGCAGGGAGAGTGCCTCATCGTATGTGCGTGGAAGACCCGTAAAGGCAATATTGTGTTTCACTTCCGGCGGCAGAGTGGCATTGCGGAGTTCACGATAATACGCCCCGCGTGGGGCCACACGGCAGTGAAAGTCGTGCGCCTCAATAAACAACACGAGCCGCAGGGATTCTTTATAACTGGCGGTCATGCCGGTCAACTCATCCACCACACGGTACTCATACGATGGATCACCCATGAAGGGTCCACGCATACGATACATTAACATTTTCTTTTGTTTGACATTTAAGGTTTCATCCATGGTTCGTTCCATTAATGAATCGGTGGTGCCAAGAAAAACAAAGGAGCGTCCTTCATCAATGGAATAATAAATCACCGGCTGGGCAACGAGATCATCATTAAAGGCCTGTACAATCGTGTAATCATTCTTAAAGCCATACACTTTACCCCATACAATCATTGTACGGCATTTACTCTTTTCCATCAGAAGTGGAAGTGATGTGGCCAACGCAACACGTTCACTTGTGGAAAAGACGTGTCCCGTAACATGTGAGAAGGCAAAGACGTCGGCTAATGACATTTGTTCTTTCTCTTTCTCTCTTTCTCTATATATGGATAAATATATATAAATATAAATATAAATATAGATATATAGATATATATATCTACACCGTGTGTGTTCTTGTGTTAGTGTGTGAGTAAGAGAGAAGGGGGGAAACGGCTTAGAGTGGTGAACTGGACACCTTCATGTTGTTAAAAAGAAAGAAAAAAGAAAAGAAAAAAGAAGAACAATAAGAATAAGAAATAATAAGAGGTTTTTTTTTTTCTTTTGAAGGAGATTTAATAGAAAAAAAAGCAATATGAAAATCAAAGAAAGAAAGATGTATATATGTACACACTACGTATAAAGAGCAACAATAAAAAAAAAGAAAAGCGAAATTAATTAACTTTCCGTCTCCAGTAGAGAAGAAATATCATTCCGCTCGGAAATACTCAAAAGTGACCAAACATCCTCCAATAAAACCAAAACATCATCCTGCAAAAGTTTTGTAACTTCTGTTATCTCATCATATAATTTAACTTCTTCATCATAACAGTGATTATAGAGATCCTTTAGATAACTTTGAACAAGAGCCTCCTTTTCCATTAACTGGAGGTTTTTCCCCAATTCAATGAGAAAGCCATCAATCTCACTTGCCCCTTGACGACTTTTCTCTAATGCCGTTTCCTGAAGTTTCTTCCAACTCATTGTAAAGTTCCGAAGCTCCACATTCAGTGAACTCCCACTATTGTTATCTTCTCTTCTTGTAGACATTTCACGCTTCAGCTGTTGTTCTCTCTGCCGCTGTTGCTCCAGTGCCTCCTGTTCCATTAGTGTTTCTCTGGAGGAAAAGAAAAAAAACAATCGCTGCTGAATTCCATTCAATACTGTCGTTTCTGTGATTGGCGTTAATGGAGGTAATCCAACGGATGATCGCAGTAGTGGGGGCACAATCTCAATAGGACGAATCACTGACTCGTATAGTTCCTCTGCCTCTTTTTCATACGGTGGGAGTACAATTTCTTTTTTGTGTTCCGGCTGTATATAAAGAACTTTTTCTTCTTTTTCTTTTTCTTCTTTTTGTTGTGATTGTTGTGGGGAATCGTTAACTGAACCTGACCCACCTTGTCCCATTTTAACGTTTTTTTATTCCTTTATACATATATATATATATATATATATATATATAAAGGTATTATTACAGTCCTCTTTATTTTGCTTTTCGCTTATGGCCACTAGTTGCACTATACAGGGCGATGCCTATTAGAGATAAATAAGAATAATAACAAAGAAGAAAAAAAATGTAGAGATACACACACATACAGAGAGACAGAAAGGGAAATTAACAAATGGAATGAATTTACAAAAAAAAGGGAAAGAAAAAGAAATGTCAAATATAAAAGCAAACAACATATATATATATCTCATCTGTCAGGTTATCTCTCAACCTGTAAAAGAAAAACAAAATCAAAAAATCTGCAAGTTAATGGTATTCTGGTATATATATATATATATATATACCAAAGTATGAAATATAGTTTTCACAACTCCACCCGAAAAACATCACGCACACCTTTCTGGCTTATAGAGAAACAACACTCCCCACGCGGTTGTGTTGGACTCTTCACAAGACGTGCCACTCGGTGTTGAACAGCATTCACTACACTACTAATATCATTCTTTTTACTCTTGCAGTTACTGCTGTTATCCACATTACCACTACCACTATTATCATCATTATTGTTCATTGATGTTGCGATAAAAACAACATTCTCATGACATCCCTCTTTTTTATCCCTTATCCCATTAAAGCCCAAAGTATAGTGTTTCTGCATAAGCAAGAGACGTGTTGATAAACCATATGCCCATGAATCCCCCAAGGCAGGAATAAGAATATGTGATGATTCTGTTTTATTATTATTATTATTATTATTATTATTATTATTATTATTATTATTTATAGTACGACTGGTTACTTGATTACTCACAACAATACAGAGTTTATGATTACGGGCGTGTTGCTGTAATATTTGCCCACAACTAAAAAGAAGTCGAGATCGTTGCCAAATAAGTTGTTTAGACTCCAGAGAAGTTTGATTCTCCTGCATCTCAAAAGTCTCTATTCCCCCTTGATAATGTTGTTGTGGATTACGTGTAGTATCAAACTGAGTAAAGGAACGAAAAGGAAATGCAATGGAGTCAATCACTATCATTCGTATGGTTGGATGAGCGGCAAGATATGTGGGAAGCATATGTAAAAAGGCCATGAGTGAAACAAGATCCGTTATCCGCATATACTGTGTTTCTCCAAGTACATACTCCAATGTAAAGAAATCTGCTATAGCCGCAATAGAGGTATGTGTAGTTTCATTTCGGCTTCTCTTACGAGATGAGGGAGAAGACGCCGTAGTAGTACTATTAGTATTAGTATTATTTATATTAGTATTATTACTATTACTATTACTATTATTACTATGATTACTCACACTATTCCCACTGCAGGATGTCACTGTTAATCCATCATCTCCCGCCACCGTCACACTTCCACTATAAATACCCTCCGACTCTTGACGAAGTATAATCCGTTTCACCTGCAGAACAGCAGCGGAAATAATTTCACGAAAACGCTCCGGCACAAAACTCCCTTCTGTGTCTATAAACAAACAGGCCCCGTGTAATCCTCCCAACTCCACTGGTAAGGCACAGTTCACAGCCAATTGCATTAATAATTGGGTCTTGCCAACACCCGGCGGACCACAAATCTCACTCACCGCACCCACCGGCACACCACCCCCGAGAAGGAGATCTAAACTACCACAGAAAGTCGTCACTTTCTCAGTTCCCGCCGTTTCTTCCAATTCCATCATCTCCTGAAGTGTTCGAATTGCAGGAGAAGAACAACACGAACGACCGGCGGGATATTTCCCACTGCGGTGCGTATCCACAACGTGCAGTAATTGTACGGCTTCATCATGTGTGAGTTGTGGACATCGCTGCAAAAGAGCTGTGAGTGTTTCATTCAACAGAGAATGAGAAGGATTTTCTTCTTCTTCTTTCTTAGTAGTAGTAGTAGTAGTATTTTCATTCACACTTGCATGATATTTTAATCGGGGAATATCATCTATCCACATTAGACCAGCATTCTGCAGTTTTGCCTTAATAGAAGGACTAAGAGAACCACAGTGTTCGATAGACATTTCACCTTTTCGCCTCACAGATTAGAACATACATGTATATATAGTTTTTTTTTTTTTTATTGTTTTGTTGATATCAATTAAAAAAAGAGAGAATCATATCATAAAAACAACGAAAAAAAAAAGAATAAAAAGAAAAAATAAGTAATTAGAATCCACATAAGAAGAATATCAAATTAAAAAACAAACAAAAAAAAAAAGTGGCTCTTCTGTACATCTTTCTTTTTTTTTTATTTTTTCCTGTCATTGTGAAAGAGAGTTAGCACCAAATGTCCTGATCGAAACTATCTACTGTTTGTTTCCTGCTGTGGATTTTACTTCTTACATGAAAACTTTATTGCAAGATGTGATAAGTTCACACAAGGTTTCCCCCACCCCCTTTTAACGTTATTCCTTTAAAGAAACACAAAAAATGGAATCGACTAGAGCTGTAGGGAGAGGCCAAGCAGAACGTGGTGGCAAACTCTCACGTTGAAGTATACTACACACCGCCAACTTTCTCTTTTCCATAGAATTAAGCCAAGAAGAAGTACAAGTTCCAGTATTTCCTGCTGCTGTTGTTGTTGATGAGATGGATGGATTTATATCAATGATAGGCCTCCAGACCTTGTGAAATTCACTCTGCAGCAACTGACGATGAACCACCATGTTATTCATCAATTGTGTAAATAATAATAACAGTGGAGGCGTGGAAAAAGAAGATCTATCATTCTCATTAGTAGTATTACTAGTATTAGTAGTAGTGAGGGATTGTAAAAGAAAGGCACTAAGTTTCCCATAATCCTCTGTTGCTACCCACGAAGCCATACAAGGAACAGCCCCAAAGTCATTCTTATCCATATCCCATTCTCTGTTATCACCATCCAGCAGCAGCAAAGAAGAAGAAGACGAAGAAGATTTCTTACAGTTTTCTAGTAGAGATATAGTACGCCCTATGGAAATCTCAGCGGCGGCATCATCTCTTGTATACAAACGGTATAATAACTCACATGTACATAAGAGTTCCTTGTCTGTTAGATGTGATATACCCACAGTGGATTCCCCCGCAGAGAAGAAGGCAGAAACCTCACTTAATGTCATCTCATCAGAGGCATCTTCAAAAAGATTACAACACGATAGAAATGACAAACTAGCACTTAAAAACTCAAAATCATTTAGAATTGTCGCCATGCAAACAGACCATACCCACACACATAATGACAATCGCATCACTTCTCTCTTCTCATTCATCTCCGTATTATTAGAAGTATTCGTATTACTATTTATATTAAGAGTTGTCGCCCAATGGCAATACTGCAGAAAGGACGACTCCTCCCCACTACCACCGCAGGATGTATGGCGGTTTAATAATGGTACTAATTCTTGTTTAATCGCCTTTAATTGACTTGCAATCCGCTCCACACGACAGAGAGCTGCTCGAATATCTGCGGTGTTTATAGTTTCCACACTTCCACTGAGTTCTGTGATGACGGCATACCACTGCGTCTTCACATCTTGCATGGATTCCTGCAGTAGTGAGAAGGGCCGCAGTACTGTGGGCATACTGCGAGTGTATGTACGGCGAAGTGTGCCCGCATCCCCCTCTACACGCATTTCTCTTTACTTTACAACACTTCTAATCTCTTCTTTTTTTCTTTTTCTTTTTCTTCGTTTATATTTATTTATTTATTTTTTTTTTTCCTTTTTTTGTGTGTGTATGTTTCTTCCTTTCTGAACTCGGTTCTCCAACCGAACCTCAGTGGTCTATTTCTCGGTATTATTACAGTGTCAAGTAATAAAGAGAAAAATATTATATTTAGAGAAATGCACACTCCCCTTCTTTCCTTCTCCCTCTCAAACCCTCAAATACAAAACAAGTCAAAACAACAACAACAACAACAAAAAAAAAAAGAAATGATAAAAAGAGAAAAATTCTTATTTCGAAAAAAAAAAAAAACTTGTACATGGAAGTTTATACTCATTGTTCGCTTAGTTTTATAAAACATGTTTAAGTTTGTATTTGATTACTTTGCCATTTCTTTTTCCATGAGTAGTTGCTTATGTTCTTTTGTTTGCTTCTCTCCAGCCTCTCTCTCTCTCTCTCCTCCACTGTTTGAAGAGAGAAAAATGGACAAATTGCAAAAAAAAAAGGCAAAGAACCGAAACAAACATAAAGAAACGAAAAAAAAAGTTACAAGATAACAAAAAAGAGAACCAGTGATGAGATGGGAAAACCATAATTCTTTTTTTTTTTTTCTTTTTCTTTCAAAAGGATTTTCCCATCACTTCCCTCTCTCTCTCTCTTTTTTTTTATACTTTCACTTTCTCTCTCATTATCTGCACTCCAAACATTCAGTAAGAAATTCGCATTAGACTAGTTTACATATCATATCACCCTCGTTTTTCTTCACGTCTCAAACAGTTGCGTCAATTCTTTTTTTCTCTCTTCACCAACAAAGATGAAGAAAGATAATAACGGAAAAGAAAAAAAGACACGAACAGTTCAGTGGTGAGAGTGAGAGTAAGGAAAAGAAGAAAAGACACAAATACAGAAAGAAGAAGAAAGAAGGTAAAAAAAAAAGAAATCAACTTCATTCTAATATTCCTTAAGTAAGTGCAACATCATGAGACAAAATTCATCGTAGTAAAGTTTACCACGCGTTTTGTAGGCAAAACTGTCAAGCATCTTCTCTGTACGCTTCTTCATAAGTTCATCATACATTGCCTTTTTCTGTGCATCATGGCGACGAATAAGAGCCTGTAGTGGAGTCAGTTGTGCATCGGCGTTATTATTATTATTATTATTATTATTATCTTTTCCCTCAGAACCCTCTTGACCCAACAACTTGTCCTCTTCTTTCATATTAGTGTTGGTAGTAGTAGTAGAAATACTGGTTGTTGCTGTTGTTGTGATGTTGGTGGTTGGACCAAGAACATCATTGTTGTAATTTCTCCGTAGAGACTTATTGTCTTTAAAGACTCCCGCACCCACTGCACGACGACACTCTGCCATTTGGAGAAGTGTTCCATCTCTGTCTTCATACAATCCCAATGGATCAATTTGACTAAGTACGAAACCAATGCCTTTTTCATTAATAAATCCTTGTTGGTTTGTATCCAGTACACTGAAGAGTTCCCGTGCATTCTTCTCATTGATCGTACCAAATTCCGTTAAAAAGTTTTGAAGAAGATCACTGTGAAATTCCGGTGCTGCCAGTCGGAATGGTGGGGCGTCCGTCTTCTGGTCCTCTTTTGTTTGCCCCTTTTGATGTTCTTTTCCGCTGTTATCTTCTGTTGAGGCCGTCAAACATCGTCCACCGCCGGACGAAAAGAATGGGACGTGTTCCACCTTCTGCATTCCCGTTTCTTTACTGGAGGCGATATTCCCATTTGTCATTTCCTGCACAGCAGACCCTTCTCCATTGGAGTGTGCACTCTGTCCAGATAACGTGGCCGCTGCTGTGGTCCGGCGATACGGCTTTGGCGTCAAACTCTGAAAAGACGAGATATCACTGGCCGTTCTAAATGAACCCTGATCGGTTCCATCCGCAGATGTGATGGTCGCCGCGGCGATAACGGCGGCGTTCTCAGCGGCATTCGCGGCGGCGGCGGAGACGATGGCTTTTGAGCCGTCCGCGTCCTCCTGCAGTTGTGCGTTCACGCGGCGTTGATGGCGGAGATCCCGCCAGAGTCGCAGCCACGCGTTGAGGGCCTTCGCCATCGTTTGCAGAACATCCGCGCGCGGCAGAGTGCCGCTGGTGCCGCCGCCGTTCATCGCGGCCCACGCACAGTAAGTGTCCTCCACCTCCGTGTATTCCTTCGCCTCCTCCACTTCCATGCGGGTGTGGGTGTGGACGACCGCGGCGAGGGAGAGGACGTACTGCTCCACCGCAGAGACCAGGCGGTGGGTGTAGACATCCCAGAAGGCGGCAATCGCCCCGTAGACCGGATCGCGGCTCATTCCACCGTCTCTTCTTATCACGAAATTGCCCTCGTCTACATTGACGGTATAGGCAGTTGTGATCTCGAGAAAACACCGCTTGGAGTGGGAGGTCACCTCCGATACCGCAATCTGCATACTGGCACGCATTAATTGGGCCGTGCCGTCCACTCCGAAAGGGGAACGATACGCATCTTCATAAGTGCACGGCACGTATTCCATACACACATAAGTCCGTCCCACCGCATCCCGCACCTCAGAGAGGGATTCCCGCAGAATGGCACCATCGTAGTCCGGCAAGGCGAGTGTTACTCGACGCACCGCACCCACCTCTGTTGGTGGAATGGAGGTTTCGAGTAAACAACAGGAGATGAGACCATCGCGGCCGTATTCTTTAATGCCGGTGATGTCTTTAAAGAGTGAGGAAACAACATAAGGCGGAACTCCAATGACAGCCGACGCATGACACTCTGATGTGGTGACCATCGACAGTAAATAAAGGGAACAGAGAAGTTCTAAATATTTCTTTCCTTTTCTTTTTCTTCTTGATCTCTCTTTTCTTCAGGTGTATTTATTTACTTATTGGGTGTAGCGTCCACTCTTCCTTCCTTCCTTCCTTTTTTTTTCTTTTTCTCCTATGTCCTTCCCCCTTTCTTTGATAGGGTTGCTTCTTTTTATTATTTGTGTTTGTACTTCAAAGAATTAGCGTAACAGAAACAATAAGAACAACAACAACAAAAAAAGAAAAGAAATGTGAAACATATTAACAGAAAATGAATGGTAGCAAACCTTACATACAAAAGAAAAGGAAATAAAAACAATTCAAAAAAAAAATAACTAAAAATATAAAAATAAAAAGAATACCGAATAATAAGAGATAAAAGAACACAAAATAAAAACAAAAGGCATACCTTCATCATTCCTAATCACATATACATACCTCAAACACCCTTATGAGAAAAAGAAAAAGAAAAAAACTGCGTTGAAGTTTACCTTCTTCATTAAATTCATTTCACACCCCTTTGGTTGTTTTCTTTCTTTCTTTTTTTTTCTTCTTCTTTGGTTTGTTTCTTGGTATTATTATTATTAGTATGACTATTATTACTATTGTGATTTCCCTCTCTCTCTCTCTCTCTCTCTCATTCTATTACATACGAGCCACTAGCAGGTTTACAGGTGATATACGTGCACACACACTTCTAAGACTCTCTAATGTCGCCACTGTCTCTCCCCGCTGCAATGCCGACACTGACCGCACATACCACAATAAGAGAAGTAAAGAAGCCCCCACTCCACCCGTGGTTTGTCGACGGAGTACATTATGGTTTAAATAACCCCATGGATCTCGAGATAATTCTTGTGGTTTCATCATCCCAACATCTGTGGATTCATTCCTTGGGCGAATAATACGACGGCAGACCCAGCGGAAACTACGCCAGAATACATAGGCTACACCACCACAGATACATAAACTTTCCTTCACAGGATCTACAGAGAGAGGCAATTGTTCCTCACTTTCCTTCCACCGCACAAAATGTACAATAGTGGGTAATGTATGTAAGAGATTAATACCCCAATTGGAGATAAGTTGCATTGTGAGTAGTACATTTACATCTGTACGACGAAGGATATCCATACCATTAACTCCAGGTTGAATACCACTAGTTAAATTATTAATATTATTATTATTATTGGTGTGTGGTATTAATAAAGGAGCTGTTGTAACCGCCGCTAAGGAGAGTGCACATGATAATAACTGCGAACTCAACACGTAACTAATCATTCCACGTGTTAAGAAGAGTGGTAAACAAAGACCAGTCATTGTACTTGCCAACAAAGTAGTAAATATAGCCAATGAGTCCCATGCCACCCAACCAATAGGCCCAAAGGAATACCCAAGCGCTAAGGCGGATGTAAACAAACATGCCACTCGACCGGCTTCTATCATCATATCCCGTGGAAGTAAAAGCACCAATGTGGATGGCACTACTGTAAGAGCAACGGGAATCACAATAGGAATCTTTGGAAACACACAAAAGGCAGCCCCACCCACAGCTGCAAACAACATTCCCATTGTAGAGAGTGTGTAAACACGCAGGAGATGTTTTCGTGCGGCAGCGTAGCGTTGGGTATTGCCCAATGGCTCTGTTCGCGCCTTTACACGCGAGACGACATTATCCACCGCTGTTGAGATCCGCCGTGGGAGGAGTTTCTGCAGAAGACCGACGCGATAAATTAATGCAATCCCGTAGCCGCCGACAACACACCACGCGGCCCGGCGCAGAGGCGTTAAGGAATGGGCGACATCTACCGTGGATGTCATCTCACCTTGTTGAGATTGGTCTCTCTTCACACGTGAAAGGGAGAAGGAAAAGGAGGAGGAAGAATTCTTCTCTATACAAATAAAAGAAAGAAAGAGAAAAAAAAAATAAACATATATATAAAGATGTTGGTAAAAGGCATAGAGGAGAAAAAATAAATAGAATGAATATAGATAGTTAAGGTATAATGGAAAAAAAAAAGAGTGAAAGGAGAAACGCAAAAAAAAAGGAAAAAAAAAAAAAAAACAGATACATACACATATACGCACACACTTTCTCTTTCTTTTTTTCAATATTTTCTTATCTTCATACTTGTAAATGCATGAAGATAACACTACAATCGTAAATATTTGGCTTGATTGAACCGAAAGAAAAAAAAAAAGGAGAAGGAATACAGAAATTAAATTGGGAGTTATGATTGCGTATACGCATATTCTATATCGAAGAATATTACACCCACGTCCGCTTACAAATATACATATACATATACATA